AACTGCAAAACTTCTCTTTACAGTTAAAAATAGTAAATATATTTTAGATATTAACAGAGTAGGCAAGCTTTTGGTTTGATTAGGTACCTAAAAAAAACTGAGAACAAAGTATTTTCCTGGACACCCAGGCAGACTGTCTATTCACAACAGAACGAAAGCACACCACTTTGAAAAGATCTACTGTATTCTCCTCATAATAATAATGATAATAACAATAATAGAAAGACAGACTAAGTCACACTGCAATCCAACGTAAATTAGAAAGCCAGTTTATCTGGATCCCAAGGCAGGGAAAATATCATGATTTATATCATTATCTTAAATAATGTTTTTAAAAAATGTTTATCTACTCTAAATATCAGGAATAACATTACACGCCAAGCCTCAATAATATACCCTTATGTCTACATAATCTTGAAAAATAATCTGTATCAGGCTGTGTGTGTGTGTGTATGTGTGTGTGTGTGAAAAGGATACTGAGTCAGGCAGACGGGAGTTTAAAACGTAATTTATTCCTGGCTGCCTTGAGAGCCATGTCATTGAACATCTCTGAATCTCGGTTTCCTCATCTATGGATTGAGCATGGTAAATCTCGCATCTCGTGGTTCTTGTGAGGATTCAAAAACTACGACAAATACAAGGTGCATAGTATGCCACCTGACATATAAAGAAGCACTTATATTTTGTCACTGTCATGCCCATCCACACCCTATTATTCAATCTAGGATCTTGCAAAACAGTCACAGGGGAGGTCAGGTAAAAGAGAATGATCAATAATCCAAAAATGCATTTCTAAACCTTAAAAAGCATTCAAAGGGCACGTGCACATGCAGAAGCAATATCAGCACACACATCCTATACCCTATTATGCAGCATAAATTATAGAAAAACATAGTAGGGAAACCAGAGTTGTTCCAATAAAGGATGTGCAGAGCCATAAAAAATTAGCAAATCAGAGCTTGTTTTTTTAGAATACCAAATAAAGGCTGTTTTCTTTGGCTGTACAAGGAAGGCAGCGGGCTGTATACTCTTAAGTGGTTGCTATCCCCAAAATTCTATGATTCTAATATAATAACTTTAATGCCACTTTACTTATTTGTAAACCTACTAAATTACTCTGCTCCTTACAAAAAAGCCATACCACCATTGTGAATTGTACTAAATAGTAACACTGTTTTAAAACACACACACACACAAACACACACACAATTAAGTAATTCTACTCAACAAATGCCTTTAAGGAGAGATCAAATTTTTTTCCACACCATAACCATGAACTCAAACTGTTACAGACAGAAATTAATTCAGGATGCTTACCATTTGAATTTTCTCTGTGATACAAAAAGCATCCATTGGATCAATGTTTTTTCCTCACTGAATTTACTAAATTGATGTGTCATTTTAGTGTTACGTGGCTATAGCTCAACTAACCTGTATGAACATCAAAAAAATGTTTCTCCTCTTCCAAAAATGACCACAACAGGGATGAAGTACGTTTTTACTGCTGCTCTTAATTGTTCAAACACCCATTCATTTGGCAATCCTTAACAAACACTGAACACCTAAGTAAAACTAAACAGTTACAGGGGGAAAAAGCTCAACTTTTAAACTAAGAGAGGAAGATGTAGTATCCATCACAGGCGAACTGTAAATACACGTAACAGATGTGACCAGGGCTGTTCCTGAGTATAGATCATTTTAGTGGCCCAACTCTAAAGCTACTTTTTAAAAAGATGACAAAGCTTGTATGTTTACCTTTTGCTCATAAAAGACTCAAAGGTAATCAAATAAACTATATTTTTGTTATAATAGAAAACTAATCCTTGTTCATCAATAAATTATAGACTGTAGGTGCATTTTTTTTCTTTTTGTGACTTTGCCACCTTACTTTTTAATGAGAATAATTTTCCAATCATCCAGGCATGTGTATGCTTTTCGTTTGTTTTAAGATCAATGATACAACGGATATTAAATCCCTTTGTATAAGTTACCATATAGGTTACAACTATTTCTTAAAAATAATTCCAGAGCCCACCAATTCATTCTGTTAAGGTCATCGAAGCTCTGAACCATCATGGCTGAATTGTTTTACTGCTCTCTGCTGAACACCTGCAAACATCAAACAAAAACTGCTGGTCCTTTCCTGGGTTGACAAAAGCCTTTCATGTGAAAAATGCTCCCTGGGAATGTCAGGCTGTAGCTCAGGTTACATTCCATTCTCCCTAGCAGCCTCACCATTTCTTAAGGTGGTAGGAAAAACCATGTTTGCAAAATGAAAGATTAAAGGGAATATGGCCACACTTTATTTTCATTCCCACATTGCAAATCACAATGGAGCATCCTCTATTAATCGATTCAAAAGCTACTGGGAACTTTAAGCATGAAATATCACCATGCCTCACTTTGAAGAAATGTGGCTGGTTTTGCAACTATGAACAGTTTACTGACTTATAGTTTGGATCTTTTTTTTCCCTAGACCTAAGTTTCAAAGCTACCCATGGAAGGGTCATCTGAGCCCACTCAAGACAATGCATATTAAACCTCAAGTAAATTTAGAAAATTATTTCTCTGTCCCAAGTTTCCTAGTCCATCCTTCCAGTTAAAGGGCAAAATGCAGTCTTCCTGATTTTTCTATTTGATATTCTTTAAAAAGAGATTTATCTTTGTTGTAGAGTGGAAATATAAGCCATTTTTTTCACTAATAGCCCTGTGTTCAAATATGTCTTGAATAGATGAGAAAAACCAACACTACAATCTGTACTCCATATATTATAGTCACCATCATACTGCATGGGATGAATACCCTGCATTTTCAATCCAGCTGCCAGAACAAAACAGCCACTACACCTTTTCACCTTTACAAGTGAACATTTGAGCCTGAAAACCGCAACCATGGTACAATGTCACTTAAAGTTCGACACCTTAAAAGTAATCACAGCATCTTCATTAGAAATATCAGAACACATCTTACTAAGGATGAAGACTCTTCCCAGATTATGCCTGTGTGGATGTGCATGTATGTGTTTGTGTATGTGTCTGTGTATTTGTCTTAAGAACTGTGAAGTTCAATATATAATCACTTACTAAAATGCATTAATACATATTCATACTTATCCAGCCTGTACTCTCTGTGAACACTTAAACATCATAGCAAGGACTTTATTTAAATGTGAACACAGAAAAGGGACCAGATGCACAGTTGTCTTTTTAAATGTAACACAATTTCATGCTTCTAAATCACTTTACTTTATTAAACCATACCTAAACTGATACACTTAAGTCATTCCAAATGTGTCAGTTTTCACAGAAAGTGCAGAAAAGAGTTTTTTGCACTTTGAAAGCAGTCTATCTCTGGGCCTTTCTGACATAATCTACTTTTAGATTTAAGCTGAATACACATTTTCTTAAGTAAAATAATGAAGAAAATTACTGTCAGAGGCAAAGTTAGTTACTGTTTTGATACTGTCTAACATGAAAAATTAATTTGTCCACGAGAGATACTTGTACTGATCTTTACTTCAAAGTTGTATAGAGAGTACACCACCAAAATTTGGAAAACATGATACCAAGACAACAAAAAAATGTTCAGTCTCTAAATGGAAAATACAACAGGGTCCAGGGCAGTAAAACACAAATATATGGTCAATAGTACTTTTAATCAGAGTAGACCTCAAAACTTAAAAGATAAAATAGAACTGTAGGGGTTATCTTATATCCTCTAATATTATACATCAAATTACAGAGCTATAACTTTGCCTTATGGGGACCAGAAGGAGGGAAAGTAACTTATTTGGAAATGAGCAACTTTCAAAAGGCACTAATTTTTTAGAAGCATGCCAATTACACAAATCACAAAGGTGAACAGATTTCTTTCTTTCCAGAGCATCAAATGAAAATTGAGAGATGTGAAATTATATTCAGTAGTTAACAGAAAGTTCCACAGGCATCTCACAACTTAAAGATGTCAACATTTACCAGTCTGACTTAAGAATGGTACTCTGTCTAATGTACTGTTATTTACCACCGCCAGAACTCCTAAACACTGCAGCTGCTTAAAAAGCATAAATGAATTTAAGCCTTAAATCTAAAGGATAGCAGGCGACCATGCATGCCTCCTTCCTGTATGAAATTCACTGGACCAAAATAAATAAATAAATAAATAAACAAACAAACAAATAAATAAATAACCATTTTAAGTGAATATCAGATTTTCAGTTTTCACTTTAATAAGAGACCTTCAGGGAGCCCCCTATTAAAACTCCTCCTTAGATGCCAGATAATCATTGCGCACAGATTCCTTTGTGAATAGCGCTAACATCTTTTTTAAGCATCACCCAAAGACCTTTCACTTACAACACATAAAAGTCCTTCCAATTCTGCAACTTTACATATAGTAGAAATTCACTGCACAAGGAAATGCTTAGGGGGGAAAAAATAGCTAAGGCACCAAAACGAATATTTTAAAGATGAATTAATTCATATTTTGCTCTCAGATTAGCAAGAGGCTCTCCATTTACAGCTATGGCTTACTATGCAGCATTCATCTGCAAAATCAAGTGTTCACTTCTCTAAAAGGGTTAATTATACATAGTATCTAATAATTAATATTACTTACAAGGGATTTTTTTTCCCTTTTTTTGAAAGTTAGATTTTTCCCTCTATTTTCAAATAGGGAAATATATTCATTTTCCCCATGTCAACACTGGCCTTATCTTCATGTGTTAGATTACAACTGTATTAGAAAATCGCTTTTAAATTAAGTAATGGAATTCTGAGACAGTTTCCTTGCTTGATAAAAAAAAAAAAAGGCCTAATTTTAATTTTGCAAAAGATAACATTCTGTGTAAGTTATACCACCGATGGCTAATGAAATAACCATATCATTACAGGCTAAAATTTCAATGACTTTTTCAGAACTCTTCAACAGAGCCAAAAATATACAATGAGTGAATAAACAGCTAAGAACATTTAACTACATGCTAAGAAAAGAATTTACATACTTGAGCCAGTGAAATGTCCACTCGCCAAAGAAGTTGGTCCATTTTTCCCACTGCTCACAGGAGGTGAAAACATCTAAAAGAAACAAAGAAATATTACTGTCAAAAAGAAGAGCTCTGTGCCTTCAGAGTTCATCAAAGATCTTTCATACTCTTACCAAACAGCTTAAGAGTTTATGCTAAGGGTTCATTTTCGTAAAATACATCAGCATCCAACTAAAACGAGCATAACATTAGCAGTCACCCCCCCCCCACCCCCCACTTCCACTCTGTTCTTTTTCCTCAGGTCCATCAGATTGCCAGAACCAGGCAGCACTGCTACACTTCAAACAAACACAGCCCCCATAATGTTATCAAGATTCAGGTCTGGAGGGCAGCGGCCTCTCTAGAAAACACTAGTTTCTACAACGGAGAAGAAAAAGTTGTTTGTTTTATATTGAAAACCTTGGCCAGAAACGTGGCAATGTCCATTTCCATCCCGCATAGGATTTGCCTGTCATATGTGAACCCAAATAAATACAAAAGTGCCACCTGCACTAAATTCTCATTTCGTCTCTAACATGAGAGCAATTTGTGGCAAGACTCTCTCACTCTCACTCTCTCTCACTCTCTCTCTCTCACTCCTCTCTCTCTCTCTCTCTCTCTCTCTCTCTCTCTCTCTCTCTCTCTCCAGCATTTATTTCGACCCTAATTGGTTTCCCTCTTCTTCGACGTATCTAGTGGATAATGCGCACCTTCCCTGAGTCAGAGCCTGCAAAAAGCAAAGGAACGAATGGAGAAAGTGCAGCAAGCAGAAAGGGGGCTACAGAGCTGCCTAGGGCTACGTTTCCTGGCAAAACTTCCGAAAGCCATTTCTCCAGGAGAGGGTCCAGCAGAGCAGCAGCGCAGCAGCAGCAGCAGCAGCAGCAGCAGCAGCAGCAGCAGCAGCAGCAGCAGCAGCAGCAGCGGAGGCGGCGGCGGCGGCGGCGGCGGCGGCGGCAACGGCGGCGGCGGCGGCGGCGGCGGCGGCGGCAGCGGCGGCGGCGGCGGCGGCAGCAGCAGCAGCAGCACCAGCAGCGGCAGCATGAAAGAGCCCCACTTAGAAGGCGGTTTGGATTTTTACTCGTGCGTTTTGTGGATCCTTTTTATTTTGCTTTGCAAATGCATCTTACACCAAACTCCTCTGGCATTAAAAAGGAATCACCTCCCCTGACAGGTCTGGGATTCGGTTTGGGAAAGGGGCAAAGGGATGGAGCGGGGTCCCCCACAGCCCTCAAACTCCACAAGTGTGTCAAGTTTGGTTTAGTGCTGATCGCACGACTGCGAGATCTACCCAAACGGTCCATAAAGGAGTCGAGAGCACGTACGATGCTCAGCACACGAATCCGAGTTTTCAGGTTCCTGGGAAAAGAGGTAACTAAGAGGACGCCAGGTCCTGCGAAACCCAAAGCATCATCATCGATTTAAAACTTTAAGACACAACTGGGTCCCCTATTTTCTCTTTTCCATTTCCAGAAAAAAAAATAAATCATAATAATAATAAAAGGAGTAGTGCGCAACGGGTTAGTACTCTCATGTTCAGATTAAGGCCAAGTTTTAGGGTTGTCTGTTTGTCCTTTCATTTGGAGTGAGATTCCATTATTTTGGGGGTCCGGTGGGTAGGGAATTCAAGGGCAAAGTAATTACACTCTGGGAGAGGAAGAAAAAAAAAAAAAGCCTGAATCGTCCATCACACCCAAAAATTGTAGTTAAAAACTTATCAAAAAGACCTTCATGTTTGCCAAGGATTCAGCCAATTAAAAATTATTCCTGTCCTTTAGATCACTACTGGTTTCTAGCTGAAGTGTTTGGGTTTTTTTGGTTTGGTTTTTTTTTTTTTTTCACAGCTGTTGTTAGTTTCCACCGTTCTTTCTTACCGCACTGAAATCCAGTAAATCACTCAGCTCTTTGTCCGTCCCTAAGGCAGCCATTCGCTGTTGGTGATGCATTTTAGCAAAATCACACAAACCTAGAAACATGGAAATAACCGCAATCAGAAAATCCAGTCCCAATCCTTGAAGAAAACACAATCGGATTTTTGGAGACTGGGGGGTGGGGGGTGGGGATGTGGGGGCGGGCGGGATTAAGGTGGTGAGGAGGGAGGGATGGGAGAGTTTGGTTCTTTTTTTTTTTTTTTTGGTTTTTTTTTTTTTTTAAGATGGAATAGGCAGCAATAGCAAAAAAAAAAAAAAAGCGATCTTGATATTGTATTTCCAAAGAGACGATCAAAACTGGTAATATCTATCTACTCTAAAACCAAATCCGGGAAGGAAAAAAAAAGAAAAAAAAAAAAAGAAAGCCGCTCTTCAGCGCATCATTTTATGCAACAGGAGGTAGAGCGAGAAATGAATGGATCACAGAGAAAAGAGAAACTACTCGGAACGATCCGGTCTCAACTTTCCCCCCCCGCCCCCCGCCCCCCGCACACACTCGCACACTCGCACCCACGCGCGCACACTCACACGCACCACTCCCCCCGGCATCTCAAAGTAGCTACAAAGAAATTAAAGAGGAGCGTCTCCGGAGCGAACACACGTCCAAAGGGGGAGGGGGGGACAGGGTCTGCGAGGGAGGGAGGGAGGGAGGGAAGGGGGGGAGCAGAGTGGAGGGTCGGATCCTGGGAATTGTCCAGCACCCTAATTCGTGAAAGAAAAGGGTTGTAAAAATTAAAGTCAGGCCCTCGGCAAAGTCCGCGGTCCCTCCGAGCGGCCCGGCCGGGGTGGGGGTGGGGGGTGCAGAGAGGAGGGGTGCAGCGAGAAGGGGTGCAAAGAGGAGGGGTGCAAGGGGGTGCAAAGGGGAGGGGTGCAAGGGGTGCAAAGGGGAGGGGTGCAAAGGGGAGGGGTGCAAGGGGGTGCAGAGAGGAGGGGTGCAGGGGGGTGCAGAGGGGAGGGGGAAGGGGTGTCTGAGCTGGGAGCCGCGCGCGGAGCCGCCGAGCCCCAGCCCCGCGCCGCCCGGCGCCCCCTCCCGCCGGCCCCCAGCGCCGCTACCTACCGGCCGCGCGCGCGAAGGGGCTCCCGGTGCTCCGCCGGCGCCCGGGCGGCGTTCATGTCTGGCCCCCGCCGGCACCGCCACCTCCCGCGCCCGCGCCCGCGCCCGCTCCTTCCCCGCCGCCGCCGCCGCCACCGCCGCCGCCGCAGCCGCCGCCGCCGCCACGGATCCGCAGACGCGCAGCCAAGATCCCTGACTCTTAACACCAACTCTCTTCTCCGGGGAGGGGAGGGGACGGGGGAGGGGGGAGGGGGAGACACGCCGAGGCGCCCGGAATTGCAAGTTCAGCAAAGAAATGGGGGGGGGGCTCCGGCGGGGAGACGCGGCTCGGGCGGGCCGGGCGGGCTGGGATGCACACACACCCCCCCCCCGCGGAAAAAAAGCAAATCCACACCTCCTCCCCCCCCCCCCCGCCTCGCAAAAAAAAAAAAAAATACAAACGAAAATTCATCGAGCACCTCATTTTCCCTCAGATCGTCAGTTACAATCTGAAGCCTGAACAGTTCAGTTTTTGCCCGTTTTCATCCATCGGAGGCACTTTGAAATTTATTCGAGTTTACATCCCCTCACTTCTTCCTTCCTCCGACTCCCGTTCCCTCTCACTCACACATCCACACACAGCAAAGCAAGTTTATACTAGGCTGCAAATACACGTGATGCAAAAAGACTTTGCCAAGAGGAACAATATTTTTCTTTTCCATATATAAACCAAGCCACATTTCGCTGGGGAGATTTTCCTTTCGGTAGTTTTGCATTTTGGGGAGGGAGGGGGGCCGAAACCTAAATTGCATACTTTCTTGCCCCTCCCTTTTAAGTCACAGATTAGTAGAGCTGCAAACTTCGCCAAAAAAAAAAAAAAAAAGAAAAGAAAGAAAAAGGAAAAAAAAAGGCAATTTTTGAGGGTGGATGTTGTTTTGTTTTTACACTTGAGTTCCTAGCCACGCTAAGTCCCCGCTCGCCAGCACTATAAGTTTTGAATTCAACATTTACCATTACAGGCCTTGCATGCTCTTAAAACATACTTTTTCACATCACTTTTTAGGATTAAAATTAAGCTTCGTAATTCTATCGCTTCGTAATAACAAGCGTGCTTTACCCAGGATATGCAACATTTCGCTATTTTAACGTGTGTTAAAATACACATTCCAGAAACCCTGTTACTGCTAGATGTGCAAGTACATACACAAAATGCATGCACACACTTTTTTCCCATTGGCAAATTATTTAATAGGTTGTTCCTTTTGTTTTAATAAAACATCGGGTTCGACATTTTTAAAAATCAAATTCAATTACAAACAGTTTACTCTGACAGCAAATTGTAACGTTACCTTAAATGGCCACAAATATGCTCACAATATTCCAAGGAAAGTGACTTTAAAAAGAAAGACAAAAAATCTTCTGCAAGTACTTAGTATCTCACATGTGTATCCCCCAAAAAAGTATTTTAACTGGTACTCAGTTCTGCTCCAGGGATATCCACAGAATACAAGATTATGCACCTGGCTCTGGTTTTTGCATTTTCCACCATCAAACTGCAACAAAATCCCCTCCCCCAAAAAAGAAACCATTAAAAAAAAAAATTTCCAACAACTTTTTCTTATTGTTTCTAAAAAAAAAAAAATATATCAATACAGGATAGTTAGAATCTTTCCTCAAACAAATCTTGTTGGTGGCTTTTTTTTTTTCTTCTCCTCTTATAAAGTCTTAAACTTGTTCCAAGTTTAGAGGTGTCTCATCATCATCATCCTCCTCCTCCTCATCATCATCACCATTGACTCCCCCGTGGAGTCACATTGATAATAATAGGTTTCCCTGAAAGATACATTGTAATCCATTCACATCCGGGCACTGCGGGCTTATAAAGAGAAGGCGCTGCGGCCGCGGCTGCTCCTCCAGACAATGACTGGGGAGGGGCGGGGCGGGAGCGGGCGGCCATAGAGTCGTAAACACGGCGCCTAGAGCGGCGCCCAAGATGGCGGCGCGCACGGGCCCCGCCTCCTCCGGGAGCGGCGGGCGGCAGGCGGCGGGGAGAGGAGTGCGGCCGCGCGTGGGGCGGGCGCGGGGGCTCGCGGGCGGCCGCGGGCCCGCTCTCCTGCGCGCCTCTTCCGGCTCCCTTTCCTTGGTCTTCGCCCCCCCCTTTCATTTTCCCCTCCGAAGGGTAGTTTCTGAATAAATTAAGGCATTGCACGCCGCGGATCCCGGGGCGGGGGGGGGGGGCAGCCGCAGGGAGCCCGGCTGCGCGCGTGGGAGGCGGCGGCCGGGGGGCCCCGGGGACCCTGCGGGCCAGAGCTCCGGGCCGCGCCGCCTGCCCCCGAGGCCGTCCTGCACCGGGAGCCCGCTCGGCTCGGCCTGGCCTGCGACACCCTGCAGGCCCCCTGCTCTGCGACACCTTCGTGACCTGGGAGGAGGGAGTGGGGCCATCGTGACCTGGGGAGGGAGGGAGCGGGGCCTCCACGGAGACCTGCGTGACCTGGGGATGGAGCGGGGCCTCCACGGAAGACCTTCGTGATGTGGAGGAGGGAGCGGGGCCTCCACGGAAGACCTTTGAGACCTGGGGGGTTGGAGCCGGCCCTCACGGAAGACCTTCATGACCTGGGAGGAGGGAGCCGGGCCCCCACGGAAGACCTTGGTGACCTGGGGATGGACGGGGCCACCACGGAGGACCTTCGTGACCTGGGGGATGGAGTGGGGCCTCCACGGAGACCTTCATGACCTGGGGGGTGGGGCGGGGCCACCACCGAAGACTTTGGTGACCCAAAGGGAAGAAGCCGGCCACCACGGAAGACCTTTGAGACCTGGGGGGATGGAGCGGGGCCATCGTGACCTGGGGGAGGGAGCGGGGCCTCCACAGAAGACCTTCCTGACCTGGGGGATGGAGCGGGCCACCACGGAAGATTTTGGTGACCCAAAGGGAAGGAGCGAGGCCACCACAGAAGACCTTCCTGACCTGGGGGGATGGAACGGGGCCACCACGGAAGACCTTCATGACCTGGGAGGAGGGAGCCGGGCCCCCACGGAAGACCTTGGTGACCTGGGGATGGACGGGGCCACCACACAGAAGACCTCTGCCCTGGTCTTCTCTAGTCACTCGCTGCCCTGGCCACATCAGTCCGAAGGGCTCAGGTGGAGGAGAGCTCCCAAGGGACAAAAGCGAGTGATGAGGATGAGGATGGGTTGATCCTCACACCCCGGGTTTGCCGTGAGCCAAACACTGTCCTGCCAAACTCCAACATATTGGCGGCTCTGACCCTAGGAAGGACCTCCAGGGTACTCTGGGTATTTTGATAGAACATGTTTTATATTCAGAGACTCAGAAGCACAAAGTGTTGAGTAGCTTGAGCCAGGGCACTTCGGTAGGTGACACAGAGTCGCCTGAAATCACACAACTTTATTAAGCCAAGCCGTAGAAGCCACCTTTGAAGCCAGGCAGGCTGGGACCAGAGTCGACGTCCCCCCCATTCCTGTACCAGGGGTTAGGGTTAGGGTTAGGCAGCCCAGCGCCTCACCTCCATTCCCTGTTGCAGTTCTGTGGCATAACAGAGTTTGGAGCAATTTTCAAGATCTTTAATTCCTGTATAAGTGTTTAGAAAACAGGAATGAGGGCATTTATGGTTTGTTTCCTGTATATTCTCACATTGGGAAGGTGCCTGGCTTCTATCCCCAGGCCATGTGCTCATCTTAAAACAAATTTTACCTGTAGACGCTACTTCACGCAGCATTATCACACGCGTTATTTGTGATGCTCAGAGGAGGCCTCTACAGGGCTGTGCTGAGATGATGTCATGGAAAGTTCACAACATTTGTTTAGGAGAAGTAATCCACTTGTACTACCTCTAATCAGCTCTGTGACCTAAGGCTTGAGGTCAACGTCTTCCTATAAAATACGGAGGCTAGGTTAGGTAATCCCTTAAAATTCTTTCTCATTTGTAGTCAGATTGTAAGAATCTCCCTCTTGATTTCCAAGCAGAATAAATGGTCTGGAAACAAATTATCGAATCAGGTCTGAGACTTAAATGCACACAACTGATTAGCTAGCATTTTTTTTTTTAGATTGATTGATCTTGATTGAATGATTTTAGAGAAAGAGCCCAAGGAGAAGCAGAGGAGGAACAGAGGGAGAGAGAGAATCTCCAACAGACTCCCTGCTGAATGCAGAGCCCAACTCGGGGCTCAGTCTCACAACCCTGAGATCATGACCTGAGCCAAAATCAAGACTTGGACACTTAATGGACTGAGCCGCCCAGGTTAAAAGCACCTGATAGTCAGAAAGCCATGCAACCACGCTTCCTATCCTAAATTCGGGAACAAATGTGGATTGCTTTTGTTTTTGTTTTGTTCTGTTTTCCCTGAACTATCAGAAGAATAGGCCTATCTACCAAGTTATAAAGATAGGAGACACGTGAGAAAGGAAGACTCAATAGAATTTTGTGAAACTTGAATAAAAAGGTAAATGTAGCAGATATGTTTTGAGGTGTCTGCTCCATCTACAGACTCCCTTCCTTAAAAACCTGTCCACAAATCCCGATAAAGAGGTAGAACTTGATGTGTGTATCACATGACTCCTTCCTGTCCGAGTCTCAGCAGCCCCAGCTGATTGGGTCACAGGAACTAAGAGAGGAAGAGATCGACAGGAGTCTATGGTGGGTGATAGATCTGACCAGTTGGCGTCAGCTGGCCAGGGCTGGTGCCAGGAAGCCACGCCATGTGAGCCATGGTTATGGGGAAACAAGAACCATGAGTAAGCAGAGGAAACTGCTCTTCAGATAAGAAAGATCTTGGAAGTTCTGAGAAAATCAGACAATTTGAGTCCTAGGAAGAAATAAGGAGAGATGCTTTGCCAATTCTTATGAGGGCCCCCTTGCCTCCTCTCCACGAGAGAGCTGACTCCTGTAGTATTCCCCTTCCCGAGCTAACGTGAGTACTTTTCTGATCCACACCACTAAAGAATTTAGGAAAAAAAAAAAAAAGCTTCTTTAGATTTCAGCATTTCAAAACAGTCCTTAACATTAAAAAAAAATTAGTGACCACTCTACTAGGGTATAAACACTGTTCCACTCCCACATGGTAGCAATTCTGTCCAATTAATTGTGCCATACAGTCAGGACAGTACAACCAAATGTCATTCCCCTTTCTACTGTGTTGTAACCTTGAGCAAATTTCACATCTTTTCAGAAGTAAAAAAATTAAAAAATAAAATAAAAAAAAAATTAACTTGTCTTCAATACTTTACATGACTGGTTAAAATCAAATGAGATGGTAGAGATGAAAGTACTCTGAAAATGACAAATTCTTCTGAAATGTAAGGCATCATTATTGTGTAAACCAAGTTGATGCCTAAAGATAACATTTAATTCATAGGAGTATGGAGGAGTGGCAAATATTGAAACCTAATGAGTCGCAGAAAAGAGCAGACATTGAAGGGGCGCTTGGACCAAACCCTTGAGTTTAGTTCAAGATTTCAAGGTCACATCACTAATGAGTTACAGAGGCAGAAGCAGCCCTCCAGTAACTGAATGCCAGTCTAGAATGCCATACCATTCCTCTTCAAATTCCATCCAGTTGGATCTCCCCCAATCTTGCCCTTGTTAAAGCAGACAAAACCACACACAAACACACAAAATGACAGTTCCTTGAGAATCTAACGAAATTCATCCAAAAACTCACCAAATAATTTTTGAGTGTCTACCTTGTGTTGGCATTTCTTCTTTTAGGCCGTGAGGCAAAAAAAAAAAAAAAAAGTAGGCAAAAATAACAGAATAATATAAAAGTCACAGACCGGCTTGATTAAAAGGAAGAGTCACCGTGAGCAAGATTCAGCCTGTGGAAGATATGTGGAAAAGGAGGGCCATCCCAATATAATTTTAGGTTGATCTATAAAAGGGCACGACCATCAAGGACCTCAAACTGGAGCCCCATATAGACTGCAAGGCTGAGTCAGAAAAGCAGCAGGCAGGACAGAAGAGGAGGGATTAGTCAGTGCGTATGGAAGAAGTCCAGAGCTTCATGATACACAGGCCCACATTCCCAGGGCCTCTTGCATTTGTTGGTCCCACGATTCTTTCTCCTGGTTGCTCACACAACTAGTTTCTTACCATCCTCCTGGCCTCAGCTTAAACATCACGTCTTCCTAGAGACCTTCCTAACCTTTCAGTCTAAAGTAAGCACCCCTCTTCGTATTCTCGTCACTTTTACATCTTTAGTGGCACCCTTCTCAATTTTTGTTAATATATTTTTTGTTAATATAACTTTTGTTAATATATTTACTATTATATTGCCTGTCTTCGCCACCGGACGGCACACTCCATAATGCAGGTACTGCATGAATCATGTTCACTCTATTTGCCCACACCTGGTGCCATGCCTGGCACGTATGAAGTATTTGATAACTATTTATTAGATAAGTGGATCAAGAATCTGTCTTTATTCTTAAGATGCACATTTTAATACTGAAGAGTGCCGCTTTCATGCTTTTTCAAATCAGCCTCTCTTTAAGGTCTCATTTTAGCTTGATTTCATCGAAGGCAAATGTTGCTGGTGATATTCAGTGTGATTTGAAACAGGCCACTGGCCCCTTGTCACCTCAATCCCCAAAGGATAGCTGCCTTAATTTACCCAACCATGAAAACAATGTCTTCATTATTATGAATGCATCAAAAGCTGCTGTCATAGTATTGCTTCACTATCATAACATTTTATGGCTGAGGCTTGGGAATACAACAAATTTCCAGAAGTCACACAGTCGCTACATGGCAGGGCTAAGATTCAGACACAGGCGAACCATGCTTCTTTTCACAGTTTAGTGGCATGTGCCATGGCTTTAACAACCTTAA